GACGGCGTTCGCCCACAGGCTGCGCTGGCCAAAGCCACGTGCGCGCGCAGCCTGCCTGTGGCCTTCCCCGGTCGCTGTCCCCACCGCGTGCAGGCTCACCGGCTCATGTACAGCGCATCGTTCACGTAGGTGTGCAGGATGGGTTCAAGGTCGTACACGCCACTCACCAGCACAGCTCCTACAGGCAGAGGTGCCAGCGCATGAGGGGCCCTGCAGCTTGAGCTGCTCTTGTAGACTCATGGAATAGTTTGGGTTGGAAGGGAGCTTTAAAGGCCATCTAGTCCAACCCCCTGCCATGGGCAGGGACATCTTCAACTGCGGGTTGCTCAGAGCCCTGTCCAACCTGGCCTGGCATGTTCCCAGGGATGGGGCATCCACCGCCTCTCTGGGCAACCTGGGCCAGTGCCTCACCACGGGAACACTCCTTGCACCCCTGTCCCCAGGCCTCAGTGAGCTGCTGGTGGGCGCAGGACATGCACACCCTGGAGGCAGCTCCTCCAGGAGCCCTATCCTGCACTCCCCATGCCTGTGGGTGCAGTCAGCTGGAGCAGCTCGTCTCACCCGTCTCTAGAGCCCCCGCAGCCCCCGACAGGCAGCAGCGATGGCCTCACAAATGCGGCAGAGACCAGTTCTCCTTCAGCCCCGTGCCTGGACATGGCGGCATTACCTTTGATGTCCGGTGTCACTCCATATTCCGTCCAGTCCGTGGACAACACCATGGCTGCCAAGTGGGCCCCTGCAGAGTGTCCACACAGGTAGATGCCTCTGTAGAGAGGGAGCCATCAGCCAGCGCCGGAGGGGCAGCACGGCACCTGCTGCCTGGGGACACCCAGCTCTGCGCAGAGGAGGTGGCACAGCCACAAGTGCCACAGCCCAAATGTGGCTGCTCGGACACGTCTCGGACTGACACCTCATGCAGTGATGTGGGAGCAGTTTGCCTTGAATGCCCACCAGCGGCCACGGTGGTGGGGCGGAGGGGACCCCAGGAGCCACTAATAGCCCACCTGATCCCGGAGTACCGCTTCACCAGGAAGGCGATGCTGCGCCGCACCTGCAGCACCATGGCGTCCATGTGGCCTGGGCAGAGGGCAGAGTTGGGAGGGCACCGGGACAGTGCAGGCGGCCGCAGCCTCCGCTGGGCAGCACCTTCCTTTGGGGGCTATGTCAT